CCGGAGGCGGTCACTCGTCGCCCTGCTGGAGCAGCAGCAGGTGAATCTCCTGGAACGAGGGCCGGTGCTTCGTGTCCCTCCGCCAGCAGCTCAGCATCAGCTTGTACACGGAGTCGGGGCAGATGGCGGGCTGCGGGAGGTAGGTCTTTGGAAACAAAAAGAGAGAACATTCAGGAAAGAGGGGAGGGGGAGCTCCTGCATCGTCATTGACTCGCTCTCCTCCACCGTCTTGGAGGTGGTCACTGCGTCCCTTCGTCTCCCGTCCCTTCGGCAGGACTTTCTGCTCTGGGGTCCCTACCACCAGCCCAAAGGTCAGGCGGCACCAAATGACATCTCAGACTGGAGACCAAGTGGTTAGAACCCGGGGTCCACTTAGACCACGAGCCTCCAAGGAAAATTCTTCACCGTTTGTTAAGACAAATTGAAAACAAAAATGTTAAGCACATTTATTCTCAGTATTGAAATGATTGCTCTATAGCAGTGATGGCGAACCTATGACACGCGTGTCAGAGGTGATATGCGAACTCATTTTTTTGGTTGATTTTTCTTTGTTAAATGGCATTTAAATATATAAAATAAATATCAAAAATATAAGTCTTTGTTTTACTATGGTTGGAAATATCAAAAAATTTCTATATGTGACACGGCACCAGAGCTAAGTTAGGGTTTTTCAAAATGCTGACACGCCGAGCTCAGAAGGTTCGCCATCACTGCTCTATAGGCTTCTACGAACTTTCAATTGCATGCAAAGGATTTAAGGTTTGCCTAAGCGACAGGCCCTGCGTATAAAATTCCTGCTAGAATTCATGTCGCTGAAGTTCTCCTGAATGAGATCCACTCTGTTCGGGAAGGAGTGATGGTAACGGTGCCATTGGAAAGGCACAGAGACCACACGCAGGCTGGGCGACCCTTGGCAGGGACAGTGGGAGAGACGGCCGCACGCGCGCCAACCCAGACTTTCACAGTTCACACACCGAAATTCTGCCCATACGACAGAAAGCAGTAAAATATGAATTGTAAATTCATATCATCTATAATAATAAAAGTGTAATATGCTAATAGACCAGGCATCCTTCCAGACGACCCTCGGACGAAGCCGGGGCTGCGAGGGAAGCCCGGGTCCTGGGTGCCAGAGGGAAGGAAGGCCTACTCTTTTATGAATTTTGTGCATCGGGCCTCTAGTATTTACATAATAAAATGTAGTAATATAAAATAATAAAATAGAAATTTAATAAATTACATTTAGTAAGTTAATGTGTTAAATAATTTTTTCTTTTTAGTTTATTGATTTTTAGAGAGAGAGGAAGGGAGAGGGAGAGAGAGAAACATCTACTGGCTGCCTCCTGCATGCCCCCTACTAGAGATTGAACCTGAAACCTGGGCATGTGCCCTGACCTGGAATCGAACTTGCGACCCTTCAGTGCACAGGACAACACCCAAGCAACTGAGCCACACTGGCCAGAGCAAATTTAATAAATTTTGATTGAAAATTTAAAGTTGTTCTTAGAGGCAAGGAGCTTACTCAGAACAGGGTGGTGATACGTGGCTTTGGCCTGGGCTTTCGTCAAATATTTGACTTCACTACTCAACCATTGGGCATTTGGTCAGAATATATTGGTTCACTACCAGTAGGAAATGGTGGACTTTTTACACTGAATATTTTAAAATGAGTAAAAAACTACCATTTGACCCAGTGATCCCACTTCTAGGAATATATCCTAAAAAAACAAACACCAATCAGAAAGGTCATATGCACCCCTATGTTCATAGCAGCACAATTTACAATATCTAAGATCTGGAAACAGCCCAGGTGCCCATCAGTAGGTGAGTGGATAAAGAAGCTGTGGTACACTTATACCAGGGAATACTATGCAGCTGTAAAAAAGAAGGATCTCTTACCCTTTGGGACAGCATGGAGGGGCCTGGTAGAGTTTCATGTTAAGTGAAATAAGTCAGGGAAAGACAAGTATCACATGATCTCACTCATGTGTGGATTCTAAGTAACAAAATAAACTGTTGAACCGAGTGGATCCAGAGACATGGAAGCAGGGAACAGAGCACAGAATCCCAGAGGGAAG